GAGGAGGACGAGGAGGACGAGGAGGACGAGGAGGACGAGGACGAGGAGGAGGAGGAGGAGAGATAAGGATGTCATAGGTGTTTGATAGGAAAGAAGGAGCAGACCACCCCCGAGCACCCGCCGACCATCCCGGAGCACCCGCCGACCACCCTCACTCACCGTGGGAAGCAGCACAGGCCAGGGAAGACATGAAGTAAGGCAAGTCCCTCACAGAACAGGCGGAGCCGGCGGTCAGGGAGGCACGCAAGCTGCCCAGCTGGGGGAGGGGGGGAGGTGAATCGGTTTAGTTTCCGTAATAGTTTTACGGCACTTGCAACACAATAAGGTCATTTAAGTGCAGAAGATTAGAAGTGTTGTAAGAGAGTAACAAACACAAACAAGAAGGAGGAGAGATAAGGACGATAGATGTTTGATAGGAAAGAAGGAGCTAACCACACCAGAGCACCCGCCAACCACCCAAGAATGATAGATAGGAAACCTAATCATTCGGTTTGAATAGAAGATGGGAACACAAATTATTCAGTTTGAACAATATATAGGAAACCAAATTATCATTCGGTTTAAATATATAGGAAACCAAATTATCATTCGATTTGAATAATAGATTGGGAAACCAAACTATTCGATCTAAATAATAGTTTTAGTAGAGGTTTTACAGCGCTCGCAACTGCATAAGGTCATATGTGAGGCAGCGTGGTGGAATCAGGCTCTCGTCAAAATAATCAAAATGAAGAAACTTGCATTTTTCTGCAGGTTTGTGAATTTCTATCAAATTTTTGTTTTTTGGGCTCAACACCTTTCATGCCCATTACAGAACTAATTTCTGAGTGGATTTTTCTGAAAAACACGGATTAAAGGTACAATAAATGTAAACTTTCACTTGCCACGGACTCTTAAGCTAAGGAAATAACTAATCTTTGACAGCCATTTTCTCACTATTTTTACCTCTGAAAACAGGTAACCCCATCTCCTTCATTCGCAAATGTCTCAACTTGTACTCAAGATAGATGGATATTTTTTTCATCCAAAGAAAGACAAGTGAACAAGCTTTAAGATGATACCAATAACTCTACATGCCCAAAAATTGACGAGAGCCTGATTCCACCACGCTGTCTCACATATGAGCGCCAGAAGATTACAGGTGTTACAAGAGAGTAACAAATATAAAAAAAGAAGGAGAGATAAGGACGATAGATGTTTGATAGGAAATAAGAGGCAAACCACACCAGAGCACCCGCCAACCACCCATGATCTGAATAATAGAAAAGATACCTGATCACTCAGTTTGAATAATGGATAGGAAACCTAATCATTCGGTTTTAGTTTTAGTAAGTGTTTTACGGCACTTGCAACGCAATAAGGCCATATAAGTGCCGGAGATTAGAGGTGTTAAAAGAGAGTAAAAAATGCAAAAATGAAGGAGGGGAGATAAATATGATAGACATTTGATAAGAAAGAAGAAGCAAATCACATCAGAGCACACGCCAACCACATGGATAATAGATAGGAAACCAAAATATTCGGTTTGAATGTACGTAACAACAAATAAACATACAAACATAAGACAAAACGAAGAATCGCGCCTACCACTCCCCGCTGTCTCGGTTTGGTGAGCTGGCCCACGCTGTGATGGAGAACGCTGTAATGGTAAGGGTAGGTCGAGCTCACTTCATCCAGAAGGGGGCGCAGGTCGGACTCGAGCCTGAAATACACCCAAAAAAATGGAGAAAATGAATATATAAATATGAATGAATGAATGAATGAATGAATGAATAATGAATGAATGAATGAATGAATGAATGAATGAATGAATGAACGAACGAATGAAAAAAATCTTGGATGAATGAATAAATAAGCAAATGCATTTTAAAAACCAGTAAGTAAATAAATAAATAAATAAATAAATAAATGAAAATTTTCGGCATCGTCGTGAAACCCAGCGCTCGTCAAAGTAAGCTAACCGAAGAAAACTTGCCACCCGTTGAGAACGTTTTTTATTGAACAGATCATTTATCGGTTATTTTACATTAATTACATTATTGTCATCATCATCATTATTATTATTTTCTTTTATTTATTTGTTTTTAATTGTGTTTTTTATGTGTCATTATTATTATTTTGCTCAAGGCATTTGTTGTTTATTCATAAACAAATCTCAGTGTGGATTTTTATGAAACTGCCACATTTTAGTTTTAGTTTCAGTAAGAGTTTTACTTTTTACAACTGGCTGCCTAACCCCCACGCCCGCACACAGTACTCACCATATCTCCTGCAGACAGTAGACATCAGCATCGAGGTCAAGCAGCGCTTGCGGCACGCGCTGAGCGCGTTTCTCGTATTCTGGCACCCTGTTGATGAGTCCAGCGTTAAACGTGACAACCCGAGAACAGCCATCATCGTCTTTGGCTGCCCGAGCGCTGGCGATACCAAGGGAAACAACCACGAGCTGGACTAGTAGGCTTGGCGTCATTTTCTCGGTTATCTACCCTGATCGAGGCGTTTTCACACAATGTCTCTTTTTTTTGTAGTCTGCGGAGTAAGCAAAATTAGAGAAATTGGAAGAAAAAAAAACAGTGGAAGAAAATGAATTTTAAAAGGCAAAAAGAAATGAACCAAAATCGTTCCTAGAGATCTATTATAGGGCTTCAAATTTGAAAAAAGAATAGCTGGAAAGGACAATAGTTTAAAGGCTGTATTAGAGATTTTTCTTTTTGCGTATTACATGTTTTTTGTTACGTTTCGTTTTAAAAGTAGAGTTCTACGCTCCCGTCGACACGGTCTAGATCTTTCTGAGGCGGGCTTCGACCCTGTCTGTCAGGGCCCACACAGACGTCAATCTCCTTTGGAAGTTTTGTAGGTATTTATTTTTTATTTATTTATTTATTATTTATTTATTTATTTATCTATTTTATTCATTTTTATTTTTTAAATTTATTTTTTCTGTTGAATTTTTATATTCTTTTTTTCATATTTTTTTAAGGAGGGGGGAAGGGGGGGGACGATTGTTACTGTCATATATTACGTTTCGCGCGCTCATATGACCTTATGCAGTTGCGAGCGCCGTAAAACCCTATACTATACATACATATATTACGTCGGTCCTTTCAAAGATGGACGTTAAACTCGGAGGTCCCGCTTCTTTGATAACCTAATAGGTTGATTAGAGGCGTTTAACCTATAGCTTTTCATCATTTTTCCCACATAGTATGTCTCATGTAATTCTAATTTTCTAGAAAACTACGCAACAATATTTTTTAAAATTCAGAAAGCAAAGTAAACTGCGATGGTGGGTTTGCTCCTTCTTTCCTATCAAACATCTATCGTCTTTATCTCCCCTCTCTGGTCCAGAGATAGTCAGAGGGTTCTCGTGGCCTAGAGGTTTAGGTATTGGCCTCTCATTCAAAGGTCCCGAATTTGAATCCGGGTAGAGACCGAACAATTTTCTTCTCTAAAATTGTCTCCTTTCACCTCCTTTTCTGCTCTCTAGCAATGTTCTGTCGTCTGCTTTCGTCTCCTCTTTCTGTCCCCACCCCCTCACCTCCTTTGACATCTCCTCTGGGCTCCTGACTCTTTCTTCAGCCTTTATACTGCTTCTCCTTGACTCCTTCTTACGGAAGGAGTTCCTCAGAGGGCCGGCCGACCAACAACACACCAAAGAGGGGGCATTATGAGAGGGGGGAGTAGGCCCTCTTGTCACGGTAAGAGCCGGCCTCTGTGGAACTCCTCCCCTTCTTACTTCTGTCTTTCATCCACACCCCTGACCTTCTGGTAGGAAAGATTTCTACACCTAGCATTCTCGGACAAGGGCAAAAAATCTCGGAAGGCCCGTGTGCAAGTTGCGCACGTTAAAAATCCCTTGGTGATCTAAAATCGATAAGAGTACGGGCATAATTCAAAATTACCTACCAATTGAAAAAGTATGTGTCCCCCGCGCTTGTATGACCTAATAAGATACATATTTATTGTCCAGATCCTAGCACAATGATTTGGTGTTTCACCACGTGTACACGTACACACACACACACACACACACACACACACACACACACACACACACACACACACACACGGGCTTACAATCACATGCATAATATCAATGAGCAGCAGTATAAACAACAAGCTGGGCCCCCTTTCGATGAAAGGAATGATCGGTGCATTAACTGAAAGTCATTGGCCTACTATGTTTACACTCTACTGGAATGGGGCAATAAATCCGGAGAGATGCAAAAAATTAGAAGGTTTAGATATTATAGCTATGTATAGATTGATTCTTTATTCCTCTTTCGTAGTTGTACACTCCAGAATTTCAGAGGTGTGGAAACAGTGCGCACGGCTGTTGAACGGAAACCTCACTTGTTTACAATGGCGTCTTAGAAGACGGACTTTCCCAAGATTAGATCTAAGCGAAACTAATGAAAAACGGAAAATTAAACTACAGTGACTTTAGGCTCCTCTATAGAATTGTGCACCCTTTAAAGGATTCTGAACCACCTTTAATTTTGTCAAATTCGAAAGTTAAGTGGTTCTGAAGTTTTAGTCTGCCAAAGTGACGAACTTTCACAAATAAAATATGAATAGATAATAATCTTAGGCTAGATACATACTCAATGTTATTCTAATGCATGCGTTAAGGTCATATGAATACTCATACAAGATGGTTAAGATGGAAGAATTTTGATGAATGAACAGTTGGGAGCGCCGTAAAACACTTACCAAGAAAGAGATAGGCCTAGTCACCGCGGTTTAACAGCACACAAGTCCAGTGAGAGAAATACCTACCAGTCTGTCCGTCCGACTCACTCACACTCTTCTGTCTCCGGCACACCCACACTCTCCGAACACGCTCTGGGTGAGTACTGACTGACCAGCTCACTGAAACTGTTGCCAAAATATAGGCCAATTTTTATGGGCCTACTATATATTATAATATGCAGCGAATGAAAATTACTCACCATATTTGGGAACGCTCGCATGTTGTGTTCTCCTCACTCACGAAATAGAAAACTTTCTAGATTCAAGCATGTGCACACGGTGTCGTGTATTCGAATCGAACGCCGTTGTTTTATTTCATCCAACTTAAAGACTGGACGAACGACTGGTTTCAATAGTGAATTTATTTTGCAGCCTGCTGACATAGATAGCCTTTTTTTACTTCGATATTTATCTAGTAGTGCGCTACCTTAGAAAATCTTTCTTTCCATCAAACTTGCGTATTGTTACAATTTTCTCCAATGCTTCTTTCCGCATTGTGTGTCCAATGCAATATCTTGATAACGATTCCAAAAACACTTTCGATTTTGATAGAGCAGTTAGAACATTTGTGAGGCAGCGTGGTGGAATCAGGCTCTCGTCAAAATAATCAAAATGAAGAAACTTGCATTTTTCTGCAGGTTTGCGAATTTTTATATATTTTTTGTTTTTTGACTCAACACCTTTCATGCCCATTAAAAAATTCATTTCTGTGTGGATTTTTCTGAAAAGCGTACATTAAAGGCACAAAAATGTAAATTTTCAGTTACCTCGGACTCTTAAGCTAAGGAAATAACTAATTTTTGGCAACCATTTTCTCACTACTTTTACCTCTAAAGACAGGTGACGCCTCCTTCATTCGCAAATATCCCGACTTGTATTCAAGATAAATGGATATTTTTTTTCATCCAAAAAAAGACAAGTGAACAAGCTTTAAGATGATACCAATAACTCTACAAGCCCAAATATTGACGAGAGCCTGATTCCACCGCGCTGCCTCACATTTGGTTTCTGACCTGGTGGTCTTAGTAACTCAAAACGGTAGAAAAATGATCAGATGGAACTTTGTAACTCTGAGGTAGCGAGGTGGAGGGCTCTTCTTGGAGGCGAACAATGATGATGATGATGATGATGATGATGATGATGATGATGATGATGATGATGATGATGATGATGATGATGATTAGTTTGTGGTGTTTGTTTCCTTAATGGGCCTAGTGGACTCCACGAAGAAATCTCCGAGCGATAGCGAGGTTCTTTTTTTTTTTTGGCTCCATTGTGTATGATGATGATGATGATGATGATGATGATGATATTATCTTAATACAAATTAATTCGTTTAAATCCGTTACTATTTTAAGAAAAGACATGAGTCTAGGACCAATAATTGATGCGGCTCACACAGGATGAAGAAATCACGTGACTTAATAAACTTTGACCTCCCCTCCACCCCCACCCCCACCCCCCACCCGACCTCCTCTCATTCTAATAAACAAAAATAGAAAAATAGAAGGCATGACGTCACAGTGACCCAAATACGAACCCGCAGAGAGTTTTTTTTTAGTTTAGTTTTAGTAAGAGTTTTACGGCCCTAGAAACACAATAAGGTCAAACCAATGTGCTAGGATCTGAACAATAAAAATGTATCTTATCTTATCTTATATATGTGCCGAAAATTAGAAGTGTTACAAAAGAGTACCAAACATAAGAAGAAGGAGGAGAGATACCGACGATAGTTGTTTGATAGGAAAGAAGGAACAAACCACACCAGAGCACCCACTAAGCACACACTTGGTAGAGAGTGGAGACGCCAAAGTTCTTTTTTTTGAGTGAAGAGAAACGCATCAACATAATAATGGCCATTAAACCCAACCACCCACATAGACACACAGAAACAACAGAGAGGGGGGGAGGGGGGGGGAGTAAAGAAGTAGGACCTACCAGTGGCGCCCTCCAACCACCCACACAGACACACAGAACAGAAACATTAGAGGAAAGTAAAGAAATAGGACTTACCAGTGGCGCCCTCCAACCACCCACACAGACAGACAGACAGACAGACAAACAGACAGACAGACAGACAGACAGACAGACAGATAGACAGACAGAAACTGCAGACGGGAAGTAAAGAAGTAGGACCTACCAGTGGCGCCCTCCAACCACCCACAGAGACAGACAGACAGACAGACAGACAAACAGACAGACAGACCGAAACAATGGAGGAAAGTAAAGAAGTAGGACCTACCAGTGGCGACCTCCAACAACCCAGACAGACAGACAGACAGACAGACAGACAGACAGACAGACAGACAGACAGATAGACAGACAGAAACAGCAGACGGAAAGTAAAGAAGTAGGACCTACCAGTGGCGCCCTCCAACCACCCACACAGACAGACAGACAGACAGAAACAGCGGACGGAAAGTAAAGAAGTAGGACCTACCAGTGGCTCCCTCCAACCACCCACACAGACACACAGAACAGAAACATTAGAGGAAAGTAAAGAAATAGGACTTACCAGTGGCGCCCTCCAACCACCCAGACAGACAGACAGACAGACAGACAGACAGATAGACAGACAGAAACAGCAGACGGAAAGTAAAGAAGTAGGACCTACCAGTGGCGCCCTCCAACCACCCACACAGACAGACAGACAGACAGAAACAGCGGACGGAAAGTAAAGAAGTAGGACCTACCAGTGGCTCCCTCCAACCACCCACACAGACACACAGAACAGAAACATTA